GTGCGTGCGAGCGTAAGTGCGTGCGTGAGTGCGTGCGCGCGTGCGTGCGTGAGTGCGTGCGTGCGTGAGTGTGTGTGTGTATGTATAGGCAACACTGCATGGTAGTGTCAAAGACGTCAAAATCATCTTTTCGCGGTTATAACTTGACTGGAAACCAAAGGACATGTTATATTGACATATCTATATCAGACGTTATATGTATATGATGCATTTAGACGTTGAAAACATAAATATTTTATTGTCTTTGTTTAACTACTGCGTGCCGTCGTAAGCCAAAAGAAATAGCACTACATTGATTTATGTCAAACACCGGAATCGAAGATGCGTAATGTCATCTTAAATGCCAACTGTCCTCATTTTGCCATTTTTGTAGTACCCTTTGGTAACCGTTTCCGGTTGTCAAAGGGAAGTACATCAAATGTCAGATTCGCTCTGGACCTTTTGGAGGGAAAAGTGTCGTTTTTATTTTGACTTTCAATTACTTTGTGAAATCTAGTTTAAAGTGGAATAGGATAATGCTATTGTGCCATTAATCGAAGATTAAAACGCGAAATTATACGAATCTCGAACTAAACTACCCATATCGGCCCGTTTTAAGGAATCCCGAGTCAATCCAAACACGCCGCCTCAATTTGCCTATCTTCTTTGTGGCGGCCATATTTACAGAAACATAATTAAACTTCATGTCCAAAAAAGAATAATGTACCAAGACTTGGCTGTATGGTGTAAAACCTTTGCCTTTTCCTTTATGGAAAGAAGAAAAAAAAAGAAACCATCATATGTCAAAACCAATGTTTGGCCAAATGTTTTAGTGAATTATCGCAAGAATTGTAACGAAATGGACAAAAATATTGGCAGTGAAAACAATTAAGTATTAATAAAAATACGTCGCTGCAGCATTAAGGGGTGCGGCAGTAGAAAAAGCGAAAATCAACTGAATGTTACATTACACGGCATGTGTTATTTTTCTGTCTATAAATCGTACAACAACCCAAATATCTCCATGTAATTAGATTCATTTAAGTAGTTTATTCATAAATCTTGCCGAATTTGGTTTTGGTTACTACAAATTGCCTGTTTGTTAATATATTTTGATGATTGTTGATAACGATTATTTTGAGATAGTGTTGTTCTTATAAGCACACATATTACCGATATTCTGTCATTAAAACAATTGACTACGAGGTTTTTATTATTTCATTATTGTTATTATTTTTGAAGGTTACCTACAAATCAAAAAAGAAAGTAAGAATGGCTGGAAATTAAAGGACTGCCGAATATAAACATAGGATCAAATACCATTTTCGTTTGTTCGCCTCATTTTGAAGAGGCCTATTTTTAATAGAACTTTGAATGTAACTATAGTTTCATGCATGTAAGATATTACATGATAATGCAATTCCATCGTTACATTTATAGGTAAATAACTTCACATTTAATTTTGATTAAAAAGACTCGTTACTAGGCACCCTCAGTTCCTTAAAACAAAATTGACAGCGGCCAACATGTGAACAGCTCGAGATTAAATTATTAGATTCATGTTTGTTTAAAACGAAGTTAAGTAAGTGCTTCAATGAAAATATTTTTATGACATAGGTAAATAAATTATTTGACAGGAAATAAGATGGAAAATTTCATCTTGATTTTAATCATTCTTGGCAAATTAAATTTGTAACATTGTGACATGACATGAGTGACATTTCTTATGACATTTTTGTTGTCGTCGTAGTTTAATATATGGTTGTTTAATATGCGAAACATGTTAGTACTGGCACTGTCTCTTGTTACATCTTCTGTTATACCATTATGTCATACCATGTTTTAAGCAAATATCGTATTATTAATATTATGTGTGATTTTATGATTATCGATAATATTACTTTACTACTATTATATAAGTAATTTTATTTATTTCAAAAATTAAAAGGAAGTGTTAAAGATTCACCTAAATCAAAATCACTGATATTAATTCTATATCAATGCATAAATACAAACTGCTTACATTATTTGGAAACCTTTTAAAAATTTCTTTCTAATATCAATCTTGTGATTGGAAATGCATAGGTATCTCCAGGCTAAGATTACAATTTTTTTCTTTTTTTAAATATACTCTCAAATTACATTTCTTTTCTGTGCAAATTCGCTTTTCGTAATATGTGAACATTTATGAATACAAAATAATGACTTTAAAATCTCATAAGACATTTCCAGAAATTCCCATATGACATAAAACATTTCCAAATGGAATATTGATATACTTTATATATATATATATGTACTTTATGATATACTTTAATTAAACTTTTATTATCTTGCTTTGATTACAGCAAACTACACAAATAATTTGTACAGTTTACTGTAATCAAAGCAAGAATGTAATTATTACAAACAAAAAAATCAGTTTCAACACTCAAGCCATACATTTGCATGTCTATATTGACTTATCTATGATTATGGTATGTACATACAACATTAAGGGTCGTATTCTAGAACTCTACTCAATGCTCAAGTCAGGACTAGAGTATGGTTCAAAGCACTAGAAATCATACTCAAGTCCATGCCATTAGGGTCGTATTTCCAGTGCTTGAAATCATACTCAAGTCTCCTCAAATCCTGACTTGAGCATTGAGTAGAGTACTGGAATACGACCCTAAATACGCCATTTGTGTGGTACAATTTTGGTTTAGGTAGGTACGTTTATTCCGTAGAGCAACTCCTTTCCTTTATTTTTTTTCCATACTCTAACCTCTAAGGTTAGGGTCGTATTCCAGAACTCTATTCAATGCTCAAGTCAGGATCTGCGTATGATTTCAAGCACTGGAAATACGACCCTAATGGCAGGGACTTGAGTATGATTTCGAGTGCTTTAAACCATACTCAAATCCTGACTTGAGCATTGAGTAGAGTTCTAGAATATATCTAGTTCCCTTTGAGTAGTTTATCAACCCGGACACTAGCAGAATTGTTCTTAGTGGAACAGAAGCCAAAACAAAAAAAATTAGAGTAGTTAAAGGGTTATAACGGCATTGTGAATTTATGATTTTAGTGAACGTACATATACAAGTAGATCATAAGTTAGGTTCATACACTACGCTACTTATGAGGGTGAAGCAAGTTGGTCAATCAAAGTTGATCGTTGCGTAATGCTTTCGGATTTTATTAAAAGGATAACAGTGTACTGTATCTTTTTAAAGTCTGCGTATAATGCCAATGATTAATGAGTGTGCATTTAGTGCCTAAATTATACAGGATATTATCGCAGGACTATAATTACTAACAACATAAACAACAACTTTTATCCATGACTTTTAATAATTTGTAAAATTTTTGTTTCATACAAAAATAAATATATTTAAATAGATCGCTCTAAACAGTAATAACTGTGCAGGACTGGAGTGGAAGTCGTCACCGAGGACGCTTGCACGTTTAGGCTCAACTCACACTGGCGTAGAGTCGAAGCATATTCATCTCTATTTTCCCATTGTTAAGGTACAAATTTGTGTTATGCAAACATGGAATCGCATGGTGCGCAGTGACGCGTCTGACGCCGACCACACTGTGATCCGGGGGCGCTAATGCGAGTGTCGTCGCGCGTCGCCTTGCGTTGTAGTTGAAAATCAGGACGTGAGTTGAGCCTTTAAACTTACCTCTACCAAATACAGATCTTAAAATTTTCAAATAGTACAACAAAAACTAAAAGTTTATTTTTGCTCATTCACCTAGGTCAATGTTTTGGTAAATTTATTGTTTTGTAAAAAGTCATAGAACAAAAGTTGTTGTTTATTATGTCAGTAATATAATGCTGGGAGGTTGTTAGTATTTTAAAAATAACCCTGTATATATTATTTATTTCCTCATCTGCCGCTTTCGTACCTAACACAATATGATGGAAGTCTACCACGAAACACGATAGATACAATGTGACTGCGGTCGCAACGAAGCTCCTACGTTATAATAGTTTTACGATGAAAGTATTTTGTCAAAATACGATAAGAAGCTGTCATTTGACGTTTCAGAATAAGGACATATTATGTCAAATTATGATCTTCGTACGCTTTTCGTGATAGCCTCCGGTCCGATACGAAGCTAAAACAATGATTGTTGCATCGTATTTGTGGTAGACCTCCGGGTCCCACATGTCCTATAGTAAATTAACTGATTTGTTTACTGTTGTCTTATGTCAGAGTTCTAAACGTGATCAGACTATTAAAATTTCTAGAGCTTAAAAAACCATAATTAGGTACAGAGTCAAGAGCATGTCAAGTTTTACACCTAAGATTTAAATTCAACTCTAAGCCGCTTAAGATAAGAACGGTCCAAAATATATTTTATGAGATATTATGAGTTAAATGCATAAATAATATCCCTAATATTAGCAAAAATAATGGTTGTATAGAAACTAACAATAATAAAACGTATTCTGTGAGATAAACAATTATATCATTTGAAGCAGATCCATTGAGACAGTTTTTGATCAAAACTATGGTCTGTTACAAATTATTTGTAAATAATCAGTTTGTTATAATATGACCTTAATGTAAATATGCTAGCCAACAATCACTTTTTGGTATTTGGCCAGATTGCCTATCAAAACATATTATATTTCTTTGATGCAATAGTTGTGAAAAGAAGAATTTACATTTTAGTAAACATTAACTGTTACTAATGTCGTACCATGATCTCTTATTTCTCGAAATTTGGGCAGCCAGTGGTCAGCATTGCACCTTAACAAATTGAGCTAATTTCGCTTGGTTGACCCACGGGCAATCATTTTTATGAACGCATTATTTATATTTTTAGAGCTAGCAACACTGGTATTTGTAATTGTCAATGTCATTGTCATTGTCATAAAAACTTCCGCACTGTTTCCGTGACTGGGTAACGCAATGTTTTGCAATTTATTTTCTTCAGTTTTCTCATTAAAACCTGTATGAATTACTTAAAAAAATCGACGTATTGCATCCTATAGCATTTTTTTATAACGACTATAAAGTTGTAAAATGTCTGACGGCGACGAAAACTTACATCGTTTGGAGGGAACATCGAGCAATGTTGTTGGTGGCCTGATCATCAAGAAAAAGGAGGATCCTGAAGAATTTCAGTTCGCCAAGCCTTCCTTACTTGGTCTAGATAAGCTAGCAGCAGCTAAACGGAAGCAGAACCGTTTAATATCATTCCAGGACGATCAGGAAGAGAGTGATCAAGCAAGTGACTCCACAGGTGCGAAAGAACGTAAATATCGAAAGCACAATGAAGAAACCCCTACATATACTGGTGGTATATCAGAAGAAGCTAGGGAGCGCATGTTGGAAAGATTACAGAAGTAAGTATAGAGATTTTTAACGCCCGGCGCCCACTGAAGGGACCGAACGGCAGGGGATCCTTCGGCATCGCACACTATCGGCAATTATGTCGCGGTATCCTTAAACAGGCCGCAGCATTCTTAGGCAAGCCTTCTGTCGCAACATCGTGCTCGCGCATGCCGGACGAGCCTCCCCTCGCCCCGTATACCCACACAATGACACTCGGCGTTCCGAAGCCTGTCAACGCATCCCTAAGGCTGCTGAAGCAGCCTAGGGGATGCTGAAGCACTCCCTAGGCTACCGAGGCATTCACTGAGGCTGTCGGCACATCATCCCTAAGTATATAGCAGCTTTATTTTGCAGCTAAGATCATTGTCATTGAAATTACAAAACTATAATGTCGTAATTTTATAAGGTATATTACTAACTGTCACCTAAAAATCCCTTGCCGTCCCATCCCAGCAGTGGGCGTTGGGTTAGGCCCAGATTTGTAAAAATGTTTTGTGGTTATGTTTTCATTTAGAATTTGTGGACTTGGTGCATTTCACTCTCTTTTCAAACTGTTGACTATTTTATTTATTTTTAGTTTCTATAATAATTTAACATTGTAAATTGAATTTTTTCAAAAATGAAACTACATTTAACTTTAATAAATTCCCAATAAATTTCAGAAAAGAAAAAGATTTAAAAGAGAAAGGAGTTCACAACTCAACATTAGAAGAAAGGAAAACTCGTTCAAAAGAAGATGAGGATGATAAATTCTTTCGCCGTTATGACAGAAGAGACCGGGATAGGGACAGAAGATATGATGATAACAGGAGAGATAGAGATAGTTATAGGAGAGATACAAGAAGGGATGAGAGAGATAGAAGAGATGACAGAGACAGGCGTGATAATAGGGAGAGGAGAGATGATAGAGATAGGAGAAATGACAGAGACAGGAGTGACCGAGATAGCTCTAGAAGAAGCTATTATGAACCCAGATTTAAGGATGAGCCTAGGACTCCAAAGTAAGTAATTTTAATGAGTGTCAATTCATTAGCAGCATATAATAATGTACTTCTTTGTTATTTTAAGAAGTAAGCAATTGTTTTCCAGTTATTACGAAAAGCTTTCTATCTAAAATGCGTATGGATTGCACTCATTCATGCGGTTTGCTAAGCTAGGATCTAGGCTAGTTAGAGGTTATTAAATCCATTATCGGCTAAAGAAAACTGGAGTACACCTTATTTATGGCAGCCATATTTTCTTCTACTTATCGGGATGATATTTCTTTTATTTTGGTCTATATTGACTTTGAATAATGTTGCTGTCTTGACTGCGTTTTCTGTGGCCACATAGAAGTTTTCCCTCATACAGATTAGGACACAAGGAGCACAACAGTATTTCCTGTTTGGGCTGTGTTAGGGTTCTGCTGTTACATTGAGTTGACTAGCATCCCTGAAACCCCATTTACGCATCTTGTCTGTAGTGTCCTTCCTGAGTTTGCAGATTTCATTTAGTACATTGGAAATGTTAACAATGGTCCTTCAATAAGAGTTACACATGTTTAGCATAACAGGCCTGATAGAGTTCAAGCACCATAAGGAAGACAATTTACTCAGTGATTTAAAAAAATATATTTTATGACCTTGGATTCAAGTTGTTCAGTTGTAATATTAGGAACAAAATATTGTGCAACAAATGCTTGTTTTATCTGAAAATTGTGTTTAATCTCAACTCAACAAACATTATGATTTTTCAGTATGAAAGTCTTAAAACCTACAGACAAAACAGCCTGGGATGACGAAGATGACGACCCTAAAGGCACAGTACGTAAATCAAGTTGGGACTTCCCCACACCCCTGCCAAGAGACGCTGGCACATCAGAACGCTCTTGGAGAAGCGAGAGAGGAAAACCGTTGCGTGACAATAAGGGGAGATTGTATGAAGAAACTCCTCGAGCCTCTCCTCATAAGTGAGTACCAGTATAAGTTTTATTTAAAATGTTATGGAAGTCCCTTAGGCCTCAATTACATTCATAATTTGTAACACTATGAAATCTTGATAATGATTGGTCATAGTTTCTAATATAAAAAAAAAGAAAAAATGTATACAGGCTGTATATTTGAAAGTGAGACATACTTATAGAGTGCGTTATATTCCTGATTCTGAACCCAAAAAAATAATAAATAACTTTACAAAAATATATTATTTTTTTTTTATTATCTACTACTTGTGAACAACATTACATATCGAAATCTATGCACACCACTATTATTGCTTCGACGGACGCAGCGAAGGGCGAAAGGCGCGGCGGCACGGCAGCGAAAAACAAAGCACAGGTCGGCACTATTTGCGGAGACAGTGTACGCGCGACCTTGGCGTAGCGAAGACACGTAAATTATTTGTACTTCCGCTCGCCCGAACGCTGCGCCGGCGGCGAACACGCCCCTCGCCTGCAAAATGGATATTTATTCTAATGTCGAATTGACTGAGATGGTGCGACTTTACGCAACAAGTGGTGATAGTGTGAGGTCAGCTATTGAAATGTTCTCAAATTGGAGTTTACACGGAGGAGGTGAACAGTGTCGAAGTTGTTGCATGAGAGGATTATCTCAGCATTTTATACTGTGAGACAAAATGTGTTTGTGTTGATCAATTTAAAACAAAATTTACTACGACGTGCTAGACTATGCATTGTGGAAAACGGTGGACATTTTGAACACTTGCTCCGTACCACGTAAGTGTAAATAAACTGTACATAACTAAAAAATCAATCATTGTAAATAATTTGATTTCACATTTTTAACTACGCCTAAAATACCTCAATTCTTATTAAAGGATAACTTAATTATCTTTTTTTAGTACGTAAAACATTTCGAAGATAGTTCATTAATAAATAATAATTAACATAAGCTAACACGTAATCATTTCGATAACAGCTTTTTCATCATAACATAAATGAGAGGTGAGAGAGAGAGGTGAAATCATTGTTATTGTTGCTGTCTCACTCGGCGCTCGCATGGTAGTATTCCCAAGTCACTCGTAATCAAGCGTAAAGGGAATCGGTTTATTCCTATGTACACTCCAAAACTAATTTGTTGATTTATTTTTTGTTCTATCCCATATCCTAATTTTATTTTAGTCTATGTTAAGGTGTAACATGATTTACTATGACATGCATGAATATGTCTCACTTTCAAATATACAGCCTGTATAATTTAAACTTCACCTTTTATTGCAAGTTAAGATGTTTTGATTTTATATTGAAATTTCTATCAATGTCCTGCCAACTAGTGGTCAACCGCAAAACAACGAGGAATATTTATTTAGTTCTTCGTAAAAGAATCAACGACGATTGCAGCGGTAAAGTAGTAAGTAAATGGATGTTTATTGTTACAAAAATAATTATTACAATAAAAAGAAAATTGAAAATTTATTATAATTAAATACAATATGACGTAACGATGATATAAAACACCACCATAAATAATATTACAAATGCGACTATCATTTGTGCCCTCCAAAGTTTCAAAGCAAGACTATTTTCTACGATTTTCGAAGTTTTGCGCGAGATATAGATTTAATTGAGACATTATGATAAATTTCAGATTTGCCAGTTCACGGCGCGGTGTAGACGTTAACGACCCGGAATGGGAAGAAGCTGAAAGAAAGCTTGACCGAGAATGGTACAACATGGGTGAAGGTAAACCTTATTACTAGATTATTTGTTTATATGCGTACTAGGGCCACATAAATAAAGAAACGTTTTCTTGTCTTATAAATTTAAATAAAATAGGTTTTATAATAATAAATTATAAACTATCTAAATATATTACAAACTTAAGGCATGCTGTATTACTGTAATTTTATTTTTTAATTTAAAAAGCTCAATTATCTTAGCTTATTATTATTATTATTATTATTAGGGTAATGATCTATTGTGATCACCACTAATCACAGCTCGGACCAAGACCAACAGCAATAAGGAACTGAAGGGCTTTCCTGGCTCCGACAGTCTTTATGTCCTCTGGGTGTGCCCTGTGCCTACCCAATATTGAACTTCTCACGCCCATCAGAGGGCAGCACTGGGTGAGGAGATGCACAGGAGTTTCATCCGCCTCGTGGCAGAATCTACATTCTCTGTTTACTCTCTGTCCAATATTTGACATGTGCTTATTCAAGCCACAATGTATTGTTAGGCTCTAGTCATTATTCTGATGTCATTCCTGTCCAGTGACAGAACTTCTCTACAGTGTTTGGCACTGAAGGCTGCTATCAAGGCTTTAGAATGCTCAAGACCCTTAGTCTGCAGCCACAAGTCTCGGGAGACGTGGGAGCTCTCGTTCAACAAAGTGAGCTTTGCCAGGCTGTGTGCTATAAATATTGCTATAAAGCAACTATGCCTATAAAGCGCTCAGGACCAATGAAGCCCTCCCTAGCACCAGCCTTTGCCAGTTCATCCGCTGCTTCATTACCCTCTATGTCAAAGTGACGTGGAACCCAACACAGGATTACATTATTCCTTTCCCCGAGAGTAGTCGGTATAGTTACGCAGTTCTCTACAATCCTCGAAGTTTGGGTGACTGAGGTTAGTGCATGCAGAGCGGCTTGACTATCTGAGTTTATATAAATATAATTGTTAACGTAGCCTCTCATCAGTTTTAGATACGCACAAACAATAATGGCGTATATTTCGGCCTGAAAGATAGAGGAGTGACGTCCCATGTTCAACTTGTAGCTGAGTCTGGGTCTCACGCCGTGTATACCACAGCCTACTTTGGGTCCCATCCCAAACGCTATACCAACTAAGCCACGGAACGAACCAGCGGACCTGACGAATTGTTCTATGTGCTTGTTGTCGTGTCTGTATTTGACTTTTCGACGACTTTTTAGCCGTAGCGCCATCTATGAGAAATCTATGAAAGTATTTCGTCATCCAGTTAGATACATTTACAGCTACCAGCCCCAGCTAGAGATGTCGCTATTCACTGTATTTTAAATTTTTATTGAATTGTTATTCAATTCTTTTATATGTGAAATTACTCCTAGTTTGTTATAATTATTAATACACAGATCGAACACACAGTCTCAATTCTGCCAGTGTCCTTATTCTCGTTTCATAAACGAGAGGGTGTGTTAGACAATACACAGAGAATTTTGTTTGAGTATCAAAGAGATTTTTGCACAAATTGATTTTTAAAACAAAAGAAATGGCACAAATTAGACAACACAAGTGGTTATAAATGTGTATGTATATTAAATATAGTGTTAATACATTAATAATAATTAAAGTTTAATATGATTTATATGTATGAATTTAAAGAGAATATGATACATTTCTGGGTGAGAGGATAGGAACAACAGTCATTTTATTAGCAGGCATATTAGGATCAAAGATTAATTTCAAAGACAAATATTATTTAGTCTCATCTGTCTATGGTCGTTGGTTTTGACAATGTCATCTGCCCATCTTATTCTTAGACTATGGAAACCACAGGACATAATAAATCTAAATCTAAATCATGGTATATTGACATATATAAATCAGACGTTATACGTATATCATGCATTTAGACGTCGAAAACATAAACCTTTTTTTGTCTTTGTTTAACTACTGCGTGCCGTCGTAAGCCAAAAGAGATAGCACTACATTGATTTATGTCAAACACGGGAATCGAAAATATGTAGCGTCATCTTAAATGCCAACTCTTCTCGTTTTACCATTTTTGGAGTAACCTTTGACATCCGTATCCGGTTATCAAAGGGAAGTACATGAGATGTCAAAAACAATGTTTGGTCAAATGTTTTATTGAATTATTCACATGAATTGTATTCAATTTGGACAAAAATATTGACAGTGAGAACAATTAAGTATTGATTAACATGCGTCGCTGCGGCATTAAGGGGTGCGGCAGTAGAAAAGGCGGAAATGAATCGAATGTTACGTTATGCTGGCATGTGTTATTTTTTGTCTATAAATCATACAATAGCCCAAATATAAAATATGTAATTAAACTCATTTAAGCAGTTTATTCATAAGTCTTGCCGAATTTTGCTTTGGTTACTTTAGATTGCCTGTTTGTTAGTATATTTTGAAGATTGTTGATAACGATTATTTTGAGATAGTGTTGTTCTTGTAAGCAGACATATTATCGATATTCTGTTATTAAAACAATTCACTAATAATACACTACACACATTATTATTATTTTTTATTTTTAAAGTTTACCTACAAATGAAAAAAGAAAGAAAGAATGGTTGGAAATTATAGTATTGCCGAACATAAACATTGGATCAAATATCACGTTCGTTTGTTCACTCCATTTTGAAGAGTAAAATTTTAATACAACTTTGAATGTAACTAGATTACATGATAATGTAATTCCGTCGTCGTATTTATTGGTATATAATTTTATATTTAAATTTGAGTAAACAAGAGACATTGCTAGGCATTCTCAGTTCCTTAAAACCATCCACTCGTTTCCGATTTTTCCCCACTGACAACTCTAACATTATATGACATATATTAGATGCATTGATGTAATAATTATAGGCGCCCAATATTAAATGGCAGCAGCTACAATAACTTGTACGTCATCCATATAGTTTCAATGTAAATGATAACTGAGAGCGACCTACGTGTTGGCAGCTACAAAAAACTTATCTACAATGGCCGTTTGTAATGCTCTTTTTCAAACTTGTCGAGCGTGTAGGCAGCAGCACTAGCTGTATATCAGTTTGCGCTCGCGTTGAACTAGCCTCGACAAATATGTATTGCAAGAATACTTATTTACTCTACAGCCAACAGTACAGCCAAATACTTCTAGAATGTTAATTGAAGCGCAGAATATGCAGACAACAAATTCAAAACCTCTTATCTATCATCCCGGATATTCCCATATAACAATGAATATTGATCTACTTTAATAAAACATTTCAATCACACTTTGATTACAGTAAACTATACAAATTACAAACATAACAACAAAAAACAGTTTCAATATTCAAGCCATACATTTGCGTGTCCGTATTGACTTATCGATGATTATGGTACAACACTAAAGAAATCCGCCATTTGTGGTGGACATTTTTGGTTTCGGTAGGAACGTTTATTCAGTAGATAAGGCAGCTCCTTACCTTTATTTTTTTCCATCCTCTAAGTTGCGGGACGTCTCACGTGGCTGTACCCACCTCTTGACCACCATTCGGTAGTAACGTTACCGAATCTGTTATCATGGATGACTATTATGCTTTAAAATTCCTTCGATCTGACACTGAAGAAAATCTTTCATAGATTTCTCACAGATGGCGCTACGGCAAAAATCCGTTAAAACCAAAAACTCGTAAGGCCTGTTGACTCGATCTGTAGCTCAGTTGGTAGAGCGGGCGCCCTGTTATATCATAAAGGCATAAAAAACGTAAATGACAATCATGATAGTAAAACATCATAATATTCATTACAATCAAAATTATGTCTTTGCCAAAATTCTGAACACCTATTCATATTATACTTGTTTGAATTCACTATCCGGCAGGCTATTGTAACTACTACCTTTTCGGAATATGAACTAAATACATTTGGTTTATTTTTTCCCGTGGTATATGACCGTATTCTATTGTCCAGGTGAAAACGACGAATCTGACCCGTTCGGCAACACCAGCGCAGAATATATAGCGCGCAAAGAAGAACAAATAGAGAAGCGTCGCAACCGCAAAGTTTCTGCTCAGAGGCAGCAGATCGACAAGGACAACGAGTTGTGGGAACGGAACAGGATGCTTACTAGCGGTGTTGTACATGCCATTAGTGTTAACAATGACTTGGATGAGGTAAGATTCTTGCAAATAAGTATGACATATTGAATTGCGCTACGGAATTAGTCTCTGGGGACTATGACCTGTTCATTCTTAAAAAAAATGTCTCCGTATTATAGTAAATATCCGTCACGTAGATCACATTTTATTAAAGAGAACATGCTAACTCTCCCATGTCTTTATATCATGGAAGTAGCATTGTTTCTCCGTAAACAACCAACATATTTTGAAATTAATAAAAATCACCGCCGTCTACATAGTCTAATCTAATCCTCTAAAGGATAACATTAATGCATTTAAAAAGGCATTGAATCTAATCCTCTAAAGATAACATTAATGCATTTAAAAAGGCATTGAAGCAATATCTTATTCACAAATCATGTTATTCGGTGAATGAGTTTTTTTTAATTTTATTTATTTTATTATTTATTGCACAGGAAAACACAAATCACATTTGGTAAAACGGAAAACACACACAAAAAGTACTGCTTATTTCTATAAGAAATTTCTTCTTGCACACCAAAATACAGGACACAATAAATATTATAACGGTTTTGCGTGCACAATAACACAAAATTAAATTATGTAATAAAATAATAATAATAAAAAACAGCAATAATATTAAATTACCACAACTTAGACAAATACATATTTCATTACATTTTATAAAATGGATGGAACACAGAATAAATAGTGCTCCTTGACTATCATTTTAAGATAGCTAAGGATTTACTGTCATGTACAGTAATGGGAAGTGCGTTCCAAAGTCTGACTGCATGACTAGTATAGGAGTGAGAATAAAAACCGGAATTGAATGATGGAAAAAAAATAGGGACTTAACGAGAGTGCGACAAGGCTTATCCTGGGACCTGAGAAAGCTGAAACGCTCTTTCAGATGCCTGGGGACAAAGGATTATGTAGAATGTTGTAAAGAAGAGAGACTATATGCAAATTCCTGCGGAAACGAATGGGAAGCCACTCGAGCTGAGAGTGTGAGATTCGATCATATTTACGAAGGCCAAAGATGAACCTTATACACAGATTATAGAAAATGGAGAAAAGACTCACGGAAAGCTCGTCGTTCAATTTAATTTTAAAATAATTTATAGGCTTAGTTTTTCAGCTTATTTGCAACACCCTGACTGGGTTATGTATGTACGTACAATACTAAATGTTATTGTAAGACCTTTTTTATATGTACATGTGCTATATGAGATAAATAAATAAATAAATTGCATCCATCGCTGTCGAAGGTATTTCTTGAAGACTTTACTACTTGGTGAGGTTGAAATCCGAAACCGAGAGACGTCGGAAGTGTCTCGACCTTCGCAGATCCTCAGCGTGTGAGGTGTGGCCTTAATTTGTTACGTCCGTAAATAGGTTCATTCCAGCCTCGTTAACAACTTAAGCGATTTCTATTGCGTATCACTTCAATTGCAAATACAGAAAGCGGTGCTGTTCGGTACGACAAGTGTTCGTTGGTTCTTGAACCTGAATCCCTGACCCCGGTCGACAGTGCCATTGCCGAAGAATGCCGCATATGCCGTTTAAAAATTCAAAATTGGTCTTTTTATAGGAGAGCGTTGACCGCGTACATCTGTTGGTGCATAACATCGTGCCACCATTCCTCGACGGTAGAATCGTGTTCACGAAGCAGCCCGAACCAGTAATTCCTGTGAGTAGCATTTAGTTTAATTATTAGAGACTGTGTGCCGAAAACTTTATTCACGTGCTGTACCCTTATCTCTGGACAACTTTCTATACGGCTACCCCTATCCGAAATTAAATTTTCACCCCCTGCATAAAATGTATCACGGAGAATGTGATGGAATTGCATGCTTTAATTCTGCTTTCCCCTTTCCATCATCGTGGGACTAGACGTAAGCTAGTTCCACCCCTATGTTGTGGGTATTCCCAGGATTCGCACGAAGCGATTCGCTTCCACATTTATATGGCAAGCAGACTTATTTCCCGAACGCTATAACTTGTACCTTTTCAAGGCGAGAGTGAACAGACATTATTTAGGTGTGCATGCTACATCGTCGACCTCATCGTCACTGTCCATCAGGTGAGATGGAGGTCAAATGCGCACTTATTTTTTGTAAGTTTTTAAAATTCTTGCACTATCTCTGAAATAGGGGATGAAAATTTGTATGGAGAACCAATCATTTCTCAAGTATAGTAGATAATCGAAGTACCTATTCTACACAAAGTCGCGGACATGAGCTAGTATATACTTTGTACACAGGTAAAAGATCCTACCTCGGACATGGCAATTAACGCCCGCAAGGGATCCGCTCTGGTGAAGGCTTTTAGGGAACAAAAAGAGAGACGCAAAGCCCAGAAGAAGCATTGGAAACTCGAAGGAACCAAACTAGGTAAGTAAAAAAAAATATTTCACTGCGTAAATAAAAGATAAAGTAAAGATAAATAGTACTCGTAAGTTTTATTACACACGCACGCGCACTCAGGCACACATATACACACACACACATTAATTTTATTTTAAATTTGCACATGAGGATCGTGTATTCTTTAAATTTTTCTGATAAGTTAATTTTAATTTCCTTATTTACGTATATTAAAAAAAAGTAACTCTGAAGAGCGGGGTTTCTAACACAAGTAATTTTTACTTACAAGTAGCCCCAACACCGGATACTGTAATTATTTAATCTAGTAAATATATAATACTTAATATATGCTTCTTTTTATATTATTATTCTCTCTGGTATTTACAGTACAGAAACAATTTGAGACCAGTAGGGCTAGCACGACTGGGCGCGACTTGCGCGAGAGCGACAAAAAGGACGAGATACTGCTATTCACGCATAGAGATCTCGCGCTTTATGTCGCTCGCGCAATTTGCTGCCTGTCGTGCCAGCCCTACAGGGAATTCGTATGGTTATCTCGTACATTGTTATAGTTCGCTTATAAGGTAATTGTTGTAACGTATTTTTAAGTTAAATTCTTGTGTTTTATAAACAAATAAGCCGTGATAGCCTAATGGTTTGAACTACTGCCTCTCAAGCAGAGGGTCGTGGGTTCGAAGTCGAGTGCGGCACCTCGGAATTTATGTGCGAAATTTAATTTTAAATTTATCGGTGAAGGAAAACATCGCGCTGCAACCTGCATGTTGAAGAAGGTACACAGCTTTCAGAAAACGTGTGAAGTCACCAACCCGCATTGGGCCAGCGTGGCGGACTATGGCCTAAACCCTCGTCTGAAAGGAGACACGTGCCCAGCATTGGGACGTATAAATGGGTTGATGATGATGATGATAAACAAATACTTTTTTGATAACGAAACTCTCTTAAAATATTCTTTTTATTATTTTATTTGACTCTATATAATAAAAAAAAAACATGTCAAATATATCTATGCCTAGCTTTAGAGCAAAGAAAAAGTTGTCACTATCACTGTACAAGAATGGAAAAATGTATGTGACCACGCAATAAAAGAAGAAAAAAGTTTCATGGTCACGATGCCGTTCTTGACGATATAACGGAACGATTCATTATTAACACAAACGATACATCAGAGGAGAGTGAAAATGAAGACGAGAGTGATAAAGAAAATGATGAAAACGCAATGTCCGGTGCAGAAGAATTGTTATAATTATTTTATATTTGAATTTTATTTATTGATCTCTGACTTCTCGGTCACACTTACATAATAATATGTAGGTACACATGCTCATCGGTCATACATATCATAGCTGGCCTTTATTTTAACAATTTATGCTATTTAGTTTTTATTTATTTTTAAACTAGAATATCTCTCCCACTTATGTTAAAAACCTACCTAATACTAAAATTTATTTTTAAAAGTTTTTTGTCTGACTCTACTTTTGATGATTACTCACACAAATGCAAAGCTCAGCTTAGACTTCGCGAACTGTAACCGGTGAATGCACGTCGCGATGGAGGACGCCTATGTTCAATAGTGGACGTTTTCCTGTTGATATGTTGATGATAATGATGATGAAATTATTGTAAAAACATTCAGTAATATAACAGTAAAATAAAATAATAAATAAAATAGTTCATTGAATAACTTCTTGTACAAAGGAATAACTAAAGATATATATAATAATTACAGGAACTAGGAGAATCCTGTATTTCAGGTAAAAAGTCTAATTATACAGGTGGATATATTATAACGTAGCATATAAAACACAAATTAAAAGAAACGTGCATCCCGGGAGTCTCTGCAAAACTAATTTTTTTATTTCTTTTCCAGGTAACATCATGGGAATACAGAAAGAGAAAGAAGAATTAGACGACGGACCAACAAAGGAAGCCTATAAATACGCCGAACATTTGGACAAAGGTAAGATAATGTATTCAAAGTCAGATGAAACTCGGTCCAAGTAATTTACACTACAACAAATTTACAGCCAACTACGGTGGCGAAGAGTCCATACAACATTACAGCAATCGGATTGTCTTAATGAATTAGTGAATCCAGGCATATTTTAGTAAACTAGATCTCTGTTAAAAACCGAAAAGTGCCATTTACGAAATTCAACAGTATTGTGACACAAATAAATTATACATCATCATATACGTTGTTCCGATTTCAAACTAAGTAACTAAAGCACTTTGTATTATGGAAATCGTAAACAACGACCCAAACACCCAGACCCGAGAAAATATAATTAAAAGTTAGTTTTTCTACAATAACTCGGCCGGGGATTGAACCCGGGACCTCAAAGATGGCGACTCCATGAAAACCGGTGTACAAGCCACTCGATCACGGATGTCAAGTGGCTCAGTTGGTAAGAGCAATGCTACGGTGCAGCATGGTCGTAGTTTTAAGTCCCACCGGGTCGAAGAAATTTATCTTTGTATCATAATCATAACAAAACTGAAGTTATTTCACAAAACAAAAAACTCATGAATAGAAATCGCGAAAATCTAAAAAATGTATACACTTTTATGAAAATTGTTAAATGTCTACGTATAAAGTATAAGATATTTTATCTTTACACTTGCCGTCACCTATATTGTTATGGTCATATAATAACTATATATATTTGATTAATTCCAGAGCAACAAGAGCCCGAGTCAAAATCAGATTTCGTAAAGAAGAAATCAATAAGCGAGCAACGCAGGTACCTACCAGTGTTTGCAGTCAGAGAGGAGCTCATGCAAGTTATAAGGGAAAACAGCGTTGTTATTATTGTTGGTAAGTTTATTACGTAGTATCAGCATGAACCAATAAGTCAAGATCGTTGCTTTGAAAAATGTCGAAACTCCGGTTTATTATTTTTTTATTTTCAGGCTACAAAAGACCCATAATTATAGACCCATATATACACAGTCAGGTCATAAGTATTGTCACACAGTAAAAACTTTTCTTTTAGAATGCTGGCCACAAAAAGTTTATTGAATTCGAATTTCGAATTGTTCATGAAAATAAAAATGTATACTTTTTAGAATTTTACTCATTTTTAAATATGGAGTGGACGCTTAAAGAAGACCGTGTTGCAGTTATTGCGTTGCATCGTTGCGGTTACGCGCCAATTCAAATTTTTGACATACTGAAAAATTTGAATATAACCAAAAGATTCGTTTATCGTACCATCAAACGATACAATGAAGACTCTAGTGTAGATGACAGGTCAAGAAGTGGTCGCCCTCGGTCTGTTAGGACTCCAGCAGTGATAAAAGCTGTGAAGGCGCGAATTCAAAGAAATCCCAAACGTAAGCAGAAACTGTTGGCCCTTCAGATGGGGTTAAGCAGAACCACGGTGAAAAGGGTGTTAAATGAAGACTTAGGGCTTCGGGCATATCGAAGAAAAACAGGACATCGTTTGAATGCTCGTCTAATGGACCTGCGACTGAAGAGATGCCGCGCTTTGTTGAAGCGGTACGCGGGAAAAAATATCGGGAAATTCTTTTTTCAGATGAAAAAATTTTTACCGTAGAAGAGAGCTACAACAAACAAAATGATAAGGTGTACGCACACAGTAGTGAAGAAGCGAGCAACCGTATTCCGCGTGTCCAACGAGGTCATTTTCCATCCTCGCTCATGGTATGGTTGGGAGTTTCTTATTGGGGCTTAACAGAGGTACATTTTTGTGAGAAAGGTGTAAAAACGAATGCAGTTGTGTATCAAAATACAGTCCTGACGAACCTTGTGGAACCTGTTTCTCATACCATGTTCAATAACAGGCATTGGGTATTCCAACAAGATTCGGCGCCAGCTCATAGAGCGAAGAGCACACAAGACTGGCTGGCGGCGCGTGAAATCGACTTCATCCGGCACGAAGACTGGCCCTGAATCCGTTAGATTACAAGATATGGCAACACTTGGAGGAAAAGGCGTGCTCAAAGCCTCATCCCAATTTGGAGTCACTCAAGACATCCTTGATTAAGGCAGCCGCCGATATTGACATGGACCTCGTTCGTGCTGCGATAGACAACTGGCCGCGCAGATTGAAAGCCTGTATTCCAAATCACGGAGGTCATTTTGAATAAACATTAGTGTCATAAGAATCTATGTTTTGTTAAGTTCATTTTGGTATATAAATGGTTAAAAAATGAATAAACTTGTTTCAATTATTTTATATTAAACATGTGACAGAATTTATGACCTGACTAGGTATATAGACTAACATACGTAATAACACTGTTTACTTACGTACACATATGGACCGCGACGTGTGACGCAACGTGGGTGTCCGGTAACCGTCCTCGTAAACACCGGAACATGACACCCTTTGTCTAAAAGTCCTCTTTCATGAAGGTCGACAGAAGCTGAGTTGGTACTCTCACCACAAATGAATTAAAATTCACATTGTGGCGGAACTCCCACTGCTCGACCCTCAGGGCAGCTTTGACTTTCACCCGTATGTACTCCACAATATCCGCAGACTTTGTTTAGTGCTGAAGTCGTGACACGTATATCAACGTCGTCGTCACCGCTGGTCGCAATAGATGACTGGGACCAGACGGGGCTGTGCCACTAAGGTTACGGCTAGTGTAGTTCCTTTCTTGAGATTCTCAATTCGACTTTCGTTTTCTCATTTGTTCGAAAGCAGAAGCAAACGAGAGCTGATATTTAAAAGTGATATAAGGCCCATTTGCCTGATCCGTTTGCCAGGGATGGATGGCCCTTGTTTCGTCTTTATTTCTGCTTATATACTCAATGGTTGGAGACTACACACTTTCCAAACATTGTCAACCTTCTTTGAAATGCATGCATTGTACAAGGTAAATACAAGAATAATAAAAGGCATATATTATATGATCATTTTAAATTTGCAAAGACATTTTTCCCTCCGCATGACAATTATATCGACTGTGAACTGAATTTTGACAACTTTACAGAATGTTGAAAAAAATGTTTCGCGTCATTTATATAGTATCTTATTTATTAAATAAAAATACGTAGTTTTTAAATATTTTTATTACACATACACTACGTATTTTTATTTAATAAACCAAATGCTATATAATTGACGCTAACAATTTTTTTCTTCATCGTGTAAAGTTGTCAAAATTCAGATAGTACCGGTTGCCAGTTCACAGTCGACATATATAAAATATGAAAAAAAAATTTTAAAAAGTACACATTTACAATAGATCTATTATATTTTTGAGAATCAAATAATATTATCCCATAATAAGAAAGCTCGTCGTTGCAGGTGAGACGGGCAGCGGTAAGACTACTCAGCTGACACAGTACCTGCACGAGGAGGGTTATAGTCGCACGGGCATGATCGGCTGCACACAGCCCAGGCGCGTCGCCGCCATGTCCGTCGCCAAGCGCGTCTCCGACGAGATGAACACCAAGCTAGGTATGTTCCTTTACAAATTTCAATAACAATTGGACGTAATTGGAATTTCACATAAAAATAATTGTGATATTCAATTCAATACACTCTATAGTTAGAAGGCGAATACCGAGTTTGAACTTTTGGGATTCTGTCAAAGAGCAAGCCGAACACCGTAGGTAATAATTAAAAATAATTATAACAAAGTACTGGAGAAATTTCGCATAAAAATAATTGAATATCAATTCAATGAAAATTTAAATACAATGAATAGCGACATCTCTAGCCAGGGCTGGTAGCTGTAAAGGTATCTCACTGGGTGATAAATACTTAAGATTTCACATAGGTGGCGCTACGGCTAAAAAGTCATTGAAAAAACTTTGCCGAATAAAACTGCTATTCAAGTCATTTCAGTGAATTCAAAACTTTAAAACGCTCCCCTGTAAACTTGGCAATTTCGACATACGATACTTTACGTATACAAGCACATAATATGAGTCTATCGATATTTGAAATAAGTGTATTAATATTATTTCCACCAGGTGACGAAGTAGGCTACGCGATCCGCTTCGAAGACTGTACATCCTCGAACACAGTGATAAAGTACATGACCGACGGCATATTGCTGCGCGAAGGCCTACGTGAACCCGACTTAGACCACTACTGTGCGATCATTATGGACGAGGCTCACGAGCGGTCGCTTTCTACGGACATGCTGTTCGGGCTGCTCAGAGAGGTCAGTGCTAACATAATACTTCTATAAGAATTGTTTTTTCTATGTAAGGGGATTTTTCTTTGTTAGAAAAGGACATATTAACAGGCTCCTTAAACATCATCTATTGTGTACGCTTAATGCCGACATTAACTAATCTATGTAACAATTTTACTTTCTTTGATCTTGAGTAATATAGGAAAATGTTACATACACCTACTGTGGGGTAATTTTCCGAAAAATTTCAAATATCGGAAAGTTTCCCGGAAAAATTCCCAAAAAATTGGAAAAATCGTGTGAATTATAAAATAAACTTGTATAACTAAAAGCCTCTTAGAGAAAACAATATTTAGAATGATTTCAAAACAGCGAAAAGAAATCTTTATGATGGGTCCATCGTTTTTGTTCAGTAACTTCAACTTTTGATAGGTATCAACGTCAAATGTGGAAAATTAAAGGAAAAATAACCGGAGCACTATTTATTTTTCTGAAAAATATTAGTTTTTCAAAATGGAGATTTTTCCATGACCCCAACACTACATACTCTCTGTACTGTATACCCAACTCTGCCAAATTGCAATTTAAACTATAAAAAACTTTTCTTTCGACTCAGCTCCGTACACACTCTATCAAGATATGGTATACCTCCTTCTTTGCTTAGGAATAAACTACAACATTATGACGTCATTATAAGAGACGATACCAACGGGAAATGAAAAGCTTTATTTAACATATTGCTTATTGCTGTGTTTCTTGTACAATATGTTTGAAAAAAAGACATTAAAAATAAAAAAAACAAATTTATTCATCAGAAACATCCTGATATTCAACACTTAATTACAGTGAATAGCGACATCTTTAGTCAGGGCTGGTAGCTGTAAAGGTGCCTAGCTGAGTGCCGAAATACTTTCATAGATTTCTCATAGATGGCGCTACGGCTGAAAAGTCGTTAAAAATAAGGTCCTAAGATCCGACAACAAGCACATCGAAAAATTCGTGAGGTCCGCTGGTTCGTTCCGTGGCTTAGTTGGCATGGCGTCTGGCGTCATAGTGGTTCGAATCCGATTGGATCGAAGGAAGTCTTCTGAATGTTCGATCTTTGTATTAATAATTATAACAAACTAGTGGAGTAATTTCACAAAAAAATAATTGAAATTACCATGGTGGTCAAACATCGTGACATTCAATAAAACACTTAATTTGAAAATAGTTATACACTAGTAGAGTCGTTAAATAAAGATATAAAGCAGGCTTTGAGCTCGGGCTCAATCTTTGGGTAACTAACAATCTTCGCAATCTCACCACAATCGCTATCCATACCGATTGGTCGGTTGGTGGTATCTCGTGATGAGTAACTACTATGATTGGGCCATCATGACATGACGAAGCGCGAATGAATTTAGTCGATGAATAAATCAAACATTATTCATAAATATCTCAAGACAAAATATGTATCGGTATGCTAGATTGCTGCCATTTGGATTATGGACCATCGCTTATTTGTAAAAAAATATCATTTTTGTACAGTGCTACACGTTTCCCTCCTGAAGAATTATTGAACCAGGTGCAAACTTTGACATTTACAAAGTTATGTTTGCCAACATGAATGTTTGTCTGTAAGCGTGTTGTGACGTTACCAACTGTTATAGTTTATTAAAATAACCAATGTATGCTACTGATAACGCGAACATGAGCTATCAAAAATCAAGTTCAAAAGGAACTTGTAAGGTTTTACAAGTGACTCAAAAGTGGAATAACGTTAATACAATTCGTTACCACATTACTATACTAACACAGGCTTTAATTAGTTAAACGCCATCTATGTGAAAACAGGAACACTAAAACAGACGGACGTAATTTGCATTGTACACAATATAATTTGCGTCTTATATTATTTTTCGTATGGCATTGTAATTAGAAAACTTTAATAGGCGATGTACTTCCAAGTAATACTGTGTGCATTGAGAAACTTCAAAAGTTTTCCAATGGTTATGAACGTTCTTTGAGATACACGTTTCTTCACGACGATTTCCTTCATTGTTAGCGTTGCCACAGTGATCCGAACCGTCGACCTCTCAATTAAGAAGCAACTGTTGTCCCATTGGGCTACCACCACTCTAGTAATGATAAATAGACGTTTTAGCCAACGTCGCAGCTATAAGTTGGCACCACTTTTAAGGTGCTTTTCCACCGGGATTGAAATTTGTATGGCAAAATTTCAATTCTCTCACAGCGCATCTTCGATGGAAATGGCCTGGGTTGACGATGATACTGCTGTGCTTATGATAAGAACAGTACGTCTATATTTATTTCAAACATACTTACTGTTAATATTGTAAGCACAGCACGATGGGCGAGGCGCGAATTGAAATATTTGTTGATGTTAATATTGAACCGTATTGCTGCCTTCATAAAGTATTATTACTCTGCAACGGAAACACGATTTCTCGTGTGGGTAATATCAATTTTTGGTGATATTCTATTCTCGTCTCACCTCGCTGGTACAAAACCTCCTTAATGTGTTATTACATTATCAACTATAAATAATTGAAAGAAACGTTTATTTAGTAATCATTTATTTATAAAAATGCCTCATTATAAATAATATTATTATAACTTACGAGTACTATACTCACAAATGACAGGTTTAACTCAGTTGTCAAACAAACTCGCCTCCCTGTCATTTTTATAGAAATATACTTTTTTTATACCATTACACCAAAGCATCGAGTATACAAGCCGAAATAGAGACGAAGTAAGGGCCATATATTCCTGGTAACACATTAGCGATACAGCTCTTATAAATATCAACTCTCGTTTGCACTGAAATATAGACAGGCCAACTACTGACCTGTGTTTACGTCTTCGTATATTCCAAAAAATATTCTGTATTTATTGTAATAAAGATAATATCTCTAACAATGTAATTACAAAACAAACGGAATCACATTTCATCGGTAATTAAGTATTAAATATGTAATTTTGCAATTTTCGTCCATTATAGCAAAGCTCAAATTAAATGGTCGATTTGAAGTGAAACAGTTGACGATACCCATTGACGACACCCGTCAATTGTTTCGAACTCGGGCTAGCCAATCGGAGCGCAGTTATCACAACAATGATATGGCAGAGTAGTTTTGAAATAAATTAAATGACATTTCGTCTCTATTTCTGGTTATATACTCGATGCATCAAAGTAACATTTGAATACTTTTTGTTATTAATAAAATTTAAAACCGAATAATTCCTTTAAAACCGACTACGGAAAAGCATTGTAATTTTTTTAGATTTTTTTTTAAATTTTAATAATCAGTTAACTAATCAGATTGTTCCAATGGAATGTTTTCCCAACGACATCACCGTGTCCCCTTAAAGGGGCGGCCATAGGCACACAAACCATCCAAAATATGCTTTCCCTTTACGAGTTATCAGACGAAAATTTATACATCATAAATAGGTACTGAAGTACCTTACCTTTTTCCGTAGTCAGGTTAAACAACATATTTTCCAATAAACAACTTTCAATTGAAAATCAGAACAGTCTTCTCAAAACACAAAAGAAATACTCGTCAGACTAGGGTGTCCACTCAAGACTAAGAACAAGATTTCTTATATAAACTTTAAAAGTATAAAATACAAGCTGCAGAAATGTATAGAGAGCTCTTTTAAACTCCACGCTACCCAACAGTGCAACTCTTTAATTTGATTGGTTTTCCAAACTTTATAGAACTATTAAGATTGGCAGTAAAATTCAACATGTTTGTTTTACATTTTCAACTATGAAGAAGCGGGAGGGAGAGCCTCTTTTATAATATAATAACAGTTAATTTTAGTAAGCTAACAAGGTCTTGATTCAGGAATGTTTAAACATTTTTTGTCAACCGTTTTCTTCTACGAAAAATTAAAGCTCCCAACAATCTTGTCTTAAAAATTAATCATACCATAAGTGGAGTCATAGATGTGAGAAATATTCTAGAGAATCTAGATAATAGAAGTGGAGCGAAGTATGAGCACATAAACGTTAAAGAGAGACTGAAGGCAGGCAGTAGAATACTGATAGAGAGAGACAACGAAAATTCCACAGATTCAATGAGAGTTTGAATTCAAATTTGAAATTAAATTCCAAACTTTATTATTCTTTTTTAGATTCCGAATGAGAATTTAGACGTTGTCACACTTTCTGGGTTGCCAGAAGCAAGCGTAGCAGGAGTACTTGCCAGCGGTGGAACCGCTGGGTGCCATTACTCAGACTGACTTAGCTTTTGTTCGTGCGTTAATCGCATTCTGGTTGACCAGCATCACGCCCATGTTCATGCCGATGTTGCCCCACTTGAGCGAATCGCTTATCTGTAACAAAGAAATTAAAAAATGAAAACGCCATCTTTAAATAAAAAAAAATACAATCACTAGCGCACATATAAATTTTATTCTTATTAAAAACTTTATATATGGTCGATAAAAAAATATCACATTCCGTGAACCTTTTGATTACTTGTACTTATAATTTATCGTATTTAGATAAGGGACGCCATTATTTTATAAATAATTATCAAGGAATGTCAGAAGTGATAGCTATTAATAAATTACATAAAACTATGTTATATAAACTAACATACACTTCAATGTAACTTCGTAGGCGTGTCGTTAACTCACACACATTTTCTACCTATGTAAACGCCAGTAAATATATATAGATAAAACCGGTATTTCTATAAATAAATTGTACCACAACCAACGCAAAAAGCACCCAGTAATGCATATCTAAGTTATTTACCCCGTCTATAATTAACTAGTTCTGCTTTTGCTTTTTCTGTCTGCATTTATATGATTTCGAGGTAATATTAATTTTAATTTATTTCGCGCCTTGTTATTCTGATTCTATTTAAAGTTTATAATTTAATTATCATTTGCTCTATAAAGTTATTTGCGTATTACAGTATTTATTTTTAAAGCGCAATATAACGTACTATTTTTAACCAACTTTAAAAAAGGAGGAGGTTCTCATTTGGACTGTACTTTTTTGTATGTATGTTACGCGATAACTCGGCATTTGTGAACCGCGATATTGAGGATTCGTATTTGTTGGAAAAAGGGTACCTCAATATTGATGTCATTTAAATTTGAAGAAAATATACCACCAATAATTGTAGCAAACTAGGGGATGAATCCGGTTTCGCACTTTCCGCTAACCGATTTAAATAAAACTTGGCAAATATATCGCACTGCTAATACAACAATGTATTAACTCAAAAAGTGAATTTTTCCAGAATAGCTGAAACACGAATTGTTCAATTTCCGTGAAAGATTTTTATAATTTATGTATAGGTTAAAATTTATTTGACATCTAAATAACTCCTACTCGCCAATTAGAAGTACATTTAAAAAAAAAGATAAAAAATAATTCATATTTTTGAGTAAGGACTGTTTTGTTGTAGCTCACAAAACGTTTGTCTCATTCTCACGACCTCTTGAGGTCGGTTTTTTTTTGTACTCTGTATTGAGATTATTAAACCGTTACTTTAGTAGCAGTACGGCTAATTGTGAAAGATTTCATCCATGGAAGACAATGTCAAGTATGAAGCATCATTCGCATTACGCGTCTTTTTATTTAGTACTTATTATAGTAATTGTTTCGGCCGAACAATAGACGGAGAATGGAAATAGATTCCCTGTGTTATATCAAAGGAGTTGTTCCTTTAGTGGTACTGAAATAAATAAAATTTAACCAGGCCATTAGTTGGTTTTTTGTAAAGAGCTCTCAAAATCTAGAAAGTCTGAATTAAAAACAAATTATTTTTGACCTGCAATATCCAGAAAATCGTTAAGGATTTTTAATACTAGAAGTAAAACGGAACGGATTTTTATGTAGTTTTTTGGCTAAAGGCCAGTGGCCAATGCCGTAAAAAATATTGACAGATGTCAAAGTCATTCTTGTTGCAATTTAATTAGCCAATTAGAAATATGATTTTGAATATTTTAGCGTTTAAGTGTTTTTGAACTTTTTTTAGAATCGCAGTGTTGCTGGTATTAATTTAACATATCTACCGCACTTTTGTTTAAAAGAAATAAATAAAAAATGCAGGTCAAAATTTTTTTTTTTTAATTACTTCGGTGAGTTTATTATTTCAAGCTTATATCTAACAAAAAATTCCAAGCTCCGTACTAATTCGGTACAAGTCCTTTATATAAGTCCCAGTATCTCTACTACTTGCTGTTATTTGTTATTCTCGCTGTTCTCCCAGTTACTGTAAAATTAAAGGCCACAATTCTAACACTAATGTAATTCACTTGATGACTTTTAAATGGGATCGTACCATAAATACGACTAGCGCACACGCACGCGTACGTTGCAATTTAATTATCATTAAGTCAACGAGAAAGTTCGTATTCTTTTGTAGTACACAGCACTGTCGTACACTAACGAAAACGCGGCTATTGAAATAACAAAAGATAGAGCACAAAAAACAGTAAAAATTAGTTATCGTGTTCCATTTATCGGAAGTTACCCTAAGGATGTATAACTGAAATATCATTAAACGATTTCAATGTTGTAAAACTGTGTTCTAATGAAAAATCCCAAACAGACATAAGACTGCAGTACTATTTAATATGTTTTAATTTATTCTAATTTCTATTAATAATTAATAATAAATTAAACTTAATAAAAAAATTCATTCAATAAAATAATTTGTAAAACTTAATGTAGCGTAAATTGGAATGTTTTCTTTGTAAAATTAAAAATAAGGTATTTAATTAATAACTATTGTAACTATAGTGAAAAAATAGGGTGGTTTGCATTAATATTAGACATAACTGGTTGAAGACTGTACCACCTCAGTCAACCGTGACCATGGGACCTGTAAAGGGCCCGAAACGTCGGTTTGTTTGAAAAAACAAATATACGCGATTTAAATCCGGAAAAATAGTTTCATTCCTATGTGTAACAATCGCGAAAACCTAAGAACTCGATATGTGTTCTGGTTTTTTATGACAGCAATCACTTTTAATTTTTCGCGAATAATTGGTTTTTACCGTCTCGTGCTCTTTACAAGTCTCATAGTAACTTATGACATGATAGCATAGTTGCTATGCTACACAATGCATTTTGTATTCAGTATATTGAAGTTTTGTATTGATTCGTTCGAAATGAAAATAAATACTTTCAATACAGTTACGCATCTAGGAAAGATATCTAAATATTGTTTGAGTAAAAACAATTTACTACATCGGTGACTCAACGGTATTTTTTTATATATAATACCAAGTGACAGGACTTCAAAAGTACCCTTCAAAAGTGGAACACAGTAATGCTCTCATTACTGCTTGGCGACTGAAACAGGTAAGGTGCCAGTACTTCCCTGGACGAACTGTTTCGCAAGACTGTGGGCGCTGGATGAGGTGGTTCCGGGTTCGATTCCCGACTGGACCAAATTGGGAAATGAACTTTTCTAAATTTGTTCTGGTCTGGGTGTCCTGGGAAGAGCCCTAGAGTGAATTTCGTTGCTCTTGTACTCATAGTACAGTTAATTCCCACTATTTATAGGCCTCCCGTAGTTTGTGCCGTCGACCACGATACTGTACTAGACAATGTCGTCCACCCGTCTCGGCACACGTCCCGCCCCAAGTTTCTATAAGTATTTCTTGACCAACATTCGGCGGTACACCATCTGTCTTCACCACGTCTCGCAATGTGGCCTGCCCAGTACATTATTATTATTAATTTAAAAACTCAATATCGCGAGTTGTTTAATACTTTCCTGTTAAATTATGTACTTCCAAAGTCAAGCGGGCTCAAAAGCTCGTAAATTTCCATACAAAGGGGTCCAACTTTTAGATTATAATAATATATTATTTGAATACAATAAGACATTTTCTCTTGTCTTTGGAAAATTAGAGTTGTGGGAAAATTAGTAAACTCTTTGTTATTATTAAAAAGTTACATTTACGAGTCTACCATGTCATTTAAATGACATCATAGTAAGAAATAGTTAAAAACCCAACACCTGACTGCACAAAACCTATTGTTTCACATTCCTATATATTTCTTATTGATATAAATGTTTCAACAAGTGTACGGTACAATGTACAAGGATAGATGGTTAATTTTTAATTGTAACCCAGAATATTATTTTAATAATTACAACGTGTTTTGCTACTGCTCGGTATTTTTATAAAAAGTATACTGTATTATATCAAAAATTGTTGATAAATTTGTCATGGAATATTAAAACGTCATAACAGCAGTAAGTACCGTAACCAAACTAATATTATAAATGCGAAAGTAACTCTTATCTGTTACGTTTTCACGCCTAAACTGCTGAAACCAAATTTGATGAATTTTGATTTAGAGATAGGTGGGACTTGGGGGGACATGTGCTACTTTTTGTCACAAAAATAAATCTTAAAGGGGTGAAATTAGGATGAAAGTTTGTATTGAAAACCAATCATTTCTCAAGTAAGTAAGTACAATAGGCTACTCAAAGTACATTCAACTGCATTAAATTGAATATTTTGTGTGATTTGAGTACCATTATGACACTATAATGATAACTTTTGTTTAACTTTATATTTATTGTTTACTGTTTTTATTTCCTTGGAATCAATTGACACGCGTCATGCAATTACTGTCATAAAATGTAGCGAGTTTCACCAAAAAGACGAAGCCTAAAAAATTGATCAAACTGAAACTTTTACCTTTTTATCCACATTATTAACTACAGACGATATTAGGTTAAATTGTTATTGTAATGTAGATAAATAAAGCTCTTTATTATTATTAAGTCCATTTCAGTACGAATTGAGATCATTGCATACAAGACCTTTATACAAAAATATACCGAAGACAAAAGATAGTGTAGGGACGTTAAATTATTTGATTTTATTTAAATAAAGATGAAGGAGTGAATCAGTCAGCCGTGACTATGAGACCAAAAAACAAACATACGCGATTTAGATCCACAAAATTAGATTCATGACTATTTTATTAAATAACTTTTTTTATTATAAGTTTTTTATGAAATATTTTTTTTTATTAAATATTTTTTACGCGTAATTAATTTGGATAATTAAGTAATTTGTCGTTAAAAGCTTCGTTCGTATAAACGAGGAAATATGTTAATGATTTTTTTCTAACAGATTTTGGTCACGCAACAGTTACATTGGTCACGTCACATTTTGAAAGGAAAATAAAATTCGCTAACTCCGTTATGGCTTTTTGTTTTTAGTATTAGGAGCGAATATATACCATGGCGCCTCTACTTAGAGTAAATTCATTATGAAGAAATACATATCGCACACCCTTGGTGAAATAAGGCCACATCTGCAAAATTACAATTTTTCAGAAGGTTTAAACTTTACTTAATGAACGAATTAATAGATAACTTATTATACTTAATTTGTTTCATGTATTATTTGTACTATGATTTTTATGTGATAAAAGCGCTTTTGACATGATCACAATGTAGATTTATTACACCAAGGGTGCATAATTGTCCCTTGCCTCACTAAATGTCGTAACGAGTAAGGCATACGGTTATGATATGAGTTTACTCAGATTTCTAAAGGGAATGTTCTCCGCTAATCGTCGATTAATATAATTGATAAAAGGAGATTGACGTGAGAGCGCAAAATAAATAAAAAATTGTAAAAGGAAAAATTTGCCTTATGACAGTTACGACAGCTAGTCAGGCGAGGGCCTATACCTGAAAAATAAATCAAGTAACATGTATAACATCAAGACTACACAATGATCAGCACAAATAAAGGTCAAAATAACAATAATATCAGCACAAAATGATTCCCGCAACTACTTTCTAGACATTACGAATGAATTTATGACATTCTACTCCTTCAAGTTGTTACACCTTGTTAGTTTATTTACTTATATTGTTTAATAAAACAATAGTGAAATTAGGAAAGTTCTTATTGTGTCTTGCTACGATGGAAACAAAGTTCAATATTCAACTTTTAGAATTGCAAATTGCTTACGTTATTTTTATACATAGAATTTGTTCCACTTTATTGTTTGACGTACACCAATACAATTTCTTGAACGTTTCCAGACTTTTATATTAAGCAAAGGAAATAAATATATTACTTTCCAGAAGAATTTATAATTGGCCTACTACTCCTTAAAGACCAAAAAATAATGACCACCTCCTCCTTATTTTATTACACGTGAAACTTATAGAGATGCGAACTTTATCCGTTGTCAAAAAAACGTTTTTTGAAGTAACAAAATAAATAAATAAACTATACATGACAAAAGGGCACATTGACCGGTAAACTTTTATCACCAATCGGTAAATGAAAAAGCCTCACCGGTAATTGTAATTGATGCCAGCAGTAAGTGTCCAAAGCGCCTCAACGATTACCATCAAAAGATGATAATCATAGGTGTTTTCGAAGTCGTTAGGCTTATCTGTAACAAAATTGCTCCGTTGTGCGATCTCTGTTTTCTTCATTGTGCCAGTTCTCTGACCCCATGCATACCGTATCATGATCGCATATGCCTTTTTACTGTCCGATTTGTCGACGATGATGGAAAAGCGTCTATATTTTTACTACAATAGCGTTTACAATCACAAAGCATAATGAAACGACGTGATTTTAATTGAAGCTTTTTAAAACTGCCTTCACAGGAACTTTGGTTTCTCTTAAGGTGTGCCGTTGTAAGGACAGCTTTATCGAACGACACATGCATTGAAAAATTATAGAACAGGAAACACTATAGAGTAATGAAAGTAAATAAAATAATCTCGACATATTACGGCCTCCGCAATGACAGAAATAACTTTACCGGTACCGGCGACGGATCGATACTGTTACGGGACTCTAGAATTTACTCGTTAAAGTGTTTGGATCCGTATTTCAAAGACAACTTAATCTACTTTCATTTGCATTTTCAACTCGAATGCAAGTGCTTTTCATGTGAATAGTTTTGTATAAATAATACAAAAACACGTTCAAAACAAATTGTGTGCCCATTGAACCATCACCATGCATTTGAGTCATTGTTTACTCAAGTTTTGATCACACGAGTCGCATTGTAGTAGTAATTTACCTGTCTCATACGAGCCTCCTGTGGCGTCTCCCCATATCGGCACCAGTGGACGAAATGCAGTGTGTTATGCCAGTTCCTCTCGAACCTTGACTTTGTAGCCATATCCAGCTGCAATCAGGAGAAGCTCCTTAGTAGTTCCATGGTTCTGTTCACCTCACCACACTTTCAGAACGAAAGCCACTCATGGCTATCGGTATCTGAAATGAGACACCAATGCTGACGCAAACCTACGCTTACAACACGAAGACCTATTCCACATGCAAAAAGGATTTTTTAAATCTTGAAGCCGAACTTTGAAGTTCGAAAATACCATGCCAGTTAGAGTTTAATGTAACAAAAAGTGAGATAAGAATTTGTTTCGAGGGAATAGAATAGAGAACAGATGTTCTGTTAAAGGAATAAATGGACAACGGAAATGAGAATTGTTTCGCGTCTGGGAATAGCAATGAGAAGTTCATTGAATTAATCGAGATTGCCCTCGAAATATATTCGAATTAGTGAGGAATTGTTTTGAAACAATTTGGGTTAAGACATCTATTTCGTAATTTGTGTAGTATGTTTGTTGTTGGCAATGTTGCAGCATAAAATTAGTATGCAAGCGATTGTGATGACTTCAATTGCCGTCTCGTCATTGAATGTAGTTGTGTTATGTCACTGCAATGAAACTGTGACGAAAAGCTTTGTAGCAACAATGCAGAGCGAATGCAACGTGTTATTTATAACTGCATCGAACAATCGACAGTAACGGTCCGATGTTCTGCGTATATTTTTTGCTCGAGCAAAATTTTTATAAAGAATTCTTTTGCCAACGCGTAATTAATACACAGCGAAACTTGTTTCTTTTTTTAATTCGTTCCACTTTTTACTTCTTTATAATTTAAAATGAATTCCAATTACAAAGCCCGCTTGTAAGTGCATTCACCCTGGATTCCAGCTATTTTACAGTTCGATCTTCGAGATATTTTATGACCTTACGATGTTGTACTTTTACAGTATCAGATATGGATAGGAAGACAGAAAGTTATAGGATTCATTAATTTCTAAGTTCTGTGGAGTTGCTATTTTGATTTTCTTGCATGTTTTACCTTAGCCCTTATGTCCTTTTCACTGTTCGGGGTCTCTTGTTTGTCGTCCACATTGTTGATGCGTATCACTGAATCTTTCTTCCAAAAAGCACTCAGTGTTGTCTTCACAATACGTTTTCGCACACCTTTTTGTTGAACGGTGTACACCTCTATCTGTTCCGGGTTCTTTGTTTTTTCTGTCGACAAATATATTATGATTAGTACCATCATTATATTTTTATTGATTTTTTCTAAAGTAATACGTAATATAATCGTGCGCGATCGCGTGCATCAAAACTGTTAGATCGGTGTCAAAATTCATGTACCTCAAGGTCAACAACTTATTGTTGGTTCGATGCTAAAAGGGTATCGCGTTTAAAACGGTCGTTAATTCATTTTAATTCATGTGGCGCTCTCATTACGGTCGCGTCAGACGCCGGGCCCATATGAATTATTTACAAATTGTATTATGAACGTGCTTAGTTGGCCGTGGCCAACGGTGCCAAGTGTGTGTGAAACAACTCTCAGTCAGTGCGGCTGCACGCCTCCGCGAATGTGAACGTTATCTCTGTCCTCAATAATAGCCACGATAAATTTTACGATTTCGCTAGGCTATTCCTGTTTTCAACGCACGCACAACAATTGTAAAGGACATTGTAAATGCTGTAGCCTAATACACACCTTTACCCTTCTTCCACATGCCAATTGCATACATGTGGTAATCTGGTGACAAGGTAGAGTCGGGTGGCAGGGGGTCTTCAGCTTTGACCTCGAGCACGAATCCTGACTCCAGCACCGCACATAAGATATTCTGTTCATCATGCTTGAACCACTTGGTTTCACGGAGTTTATGGATAGCGACTGTAGAGCCGAAACGCTGCTTCTTGGGCGCAAATAAAGCCTGGGCCTGACTCCCGAATCTGGACAAGAGCCCCTTCACCGTCGGTGGAGGCGCGAGGCTCTTCTCCGGCGGCTTTGATTGCTGGAAACTCCGGCAGGTCACGAACCTCGCTTCCATTGAACCCTCTCCTCTCAAAGATTTGCGAAATAACCCCACCACACACCAACACTTTTCACCTATTTATACAGCAGCTGTTATAACAGTTATAACTGCTACAGTGTTACTCTCACTGACTGGAAATCTTGTTTTGTATGAACACTTTCACAATTTTTAGCGCGCGTGGTTGACCGGTGCTTGCAGCGCAGAGCTACACGGCGGCTTGTGAAATAAGACGCGGCGCGAGATGGGGTCTTGCTTTTATACTACCGAGGGGTATGCGGGGAGGGCGTTACTCACGTCTGACCTCACTAGTGAAGCGCGCGTATCGATAAATGTTTTACAGCAGCGACTGCTCCTTAAGAAACGTATACGTATACAATCTTCTGGTGACGTTTTTGTTAAAGTTACTAACACGTTTCACATGGTTGTGTAATATTATTATTTTATATATTATTTACCCTGCGTATATGGTAAGAGGTAGAAAAACATTTTTGGGCAATGGTTATGTTAATTTTGTAATAACGTTAAAATTAATTTATACTTTTATTAACTTAGAGAATTATCAAAAACGTTGATCTTCTTTCTTTATCTGGAAATGATTAGGTATGATTTTATTTCGGAAATAATGTTTTCACGGATTGTTTTCTCATTTTCGTCACGTGTTCATTCAAGGTTGTATCTAATCTAGTGTTGTCTAAAGTCGTGGTATTAACTCATGTTCACGCAGGCAAATATGATAATGTTCTTTTGTCTGTATACGTTGATTGTTTTATATCTCTGCGAGTTGCAGTTGCGTGTGAAAGAGATGTACATCATATACAAAAGATGGATGATAGTTGACTGACGGCACAAATTCAGGTAGACAAATCTCAGTGAGAATGGCGATGTTCTTACAAAAAGGCTAAAGTAAAAGTATTAAGAAAAATAATAATAATGAAAAAAATGTTTTTGACAATGTCATCAATTTTTCTATATTCTGAGTGTTAAGCAACAAAACATACGGTTGTTTTTGCTAAATAGTTATTTTATTTATTTTTTATTTATTTTATTGTTTTAAAAAAAGTATACAAAAATAATGCAAAACACCGTTAAACCCTACTTGGGTTTGTCTCGGTGGCATTGATTCCTACTGCTACGAACAAACTAATTCAAAATATTTAAAAAAATCTTGTAAGTAGGTAGACATTGTTTTGTATCTTTATTTGGAGGCATACCTTTGTACAACAGTGAAGACGCAACGTCAAAGTATTTTACTATTATAGACTAGATACTGAGCTATCCGTCCGGAAACTGGTTTGTTAACAAGTGTACAGGACCCCTCAAAAACAAATGTTAGCACATTAAGTAAAGAATAAGTTTAATTTTAAATGTATATAGTTAGTATATGTAGATGTAGTATTTATAAATAATATGTATTATTACTATATGTCAATAGGCATTAATTAAGTAGTAAAATTTTATGACATAAATTAGTGTCTGAATATTGTATGTATCTGTGTGTGTTGAAAAACATCTTTTGAGTATGATTTTGATATTTTTAGGATTGATTTGAACACGAATTTCTTTAAGTAATTGATTAATTTGTTCTGATATAATATATTCAGATGTTCGTTTGCCATAGTAGTTGTTAAATTTAGGCTGTAGGTGAAATTTGGAGTCAAAATTTTTCATGAATAGGTATAATTTTACAATAGTTAAATATTTCGTTATCATTGGTTATTTTATTCTTAACATTGTACGGTAGTATCGTTTTCAATAGTCTCAGTTGCAGTCTATATATTTGCTCGAGTAAGAAAATGTACGGCCATAGGACGTTAATCCATATGATATTATACATTCAGTTAGTGCTGTATACATTGTTATGTGAGGACCCCAGTTAAAATTATTATCAATTATGACACCCAGATATTTTAGTTGTGTTACCTGCTGTAGCTGCACGCACTTGCATTGTACGTCTGTCGATTTCGCGTGCAAGCATTGGTGACTATGTCCTGTGATCGAAACAGAATTTACAGTTTTATTGTGACACGAGTGTATATGTAACAGTTTCGTTTTTTCGTTATTTAGAACAAGTCCAGCATCATGGGACCATTTGCTTACTAGATCAAAGTCATGTTGAAGCTGCCGTTCAGCTGTTTTTACCTAAAACAAAGACCTCTTTGTCAGCAGAAATTAGGCAAGTATCGTCGGCGAATTGATAGATACTACATTTTTTAATACACTTGTTCACGTCATTGATGTATGATAGATAATGCAAAGGCCCCAACACAGAGCCCAGGGCCTGCACCTCCTAATTTTACATAATAAGACAAATAATATTTGCAAATATTTTTTGCACCATACTCAGGGCAACCCTCTTATTCCCATATCGTTTAATTTCCTCAGTAAAACATCGTGTCGCAAGGTGTCAAAAGCTTTACTGTAGTTAAGACTGTGTGTGGCGCTCTTAAGTTAACAAACTTAAGAGTGCCCCACGTCACAGATTTAAACTTTGAGAGTCACTTAGTCAGATTTATATCCTCCCCTTTTTAAATGAAGGCAATTGAAAGTTTCGGTCTGTGTTCTATATTCTGTAGTAAATTATTCATGTTCCACAAAATTTTTTTGCAATGTTTCCTTAGTTTTTTTTTTTGTTGTAAACCAAAAGTTGAAAAATATATTGTTGATTTTATACATATTTTATTACGTAGTTATTATTGTATAATTAAGAATAATTCCTTCTTTATCTACAGTTACCCAACGATCGATTATCATTATCGATGTCCTATCCATCGACAAAAAATTATCGACTTGGTAACATTAATTCCGATGCGCCATCGGTCTGACCTCCCCCCTCCATAGCTGTCACCCCCCACGCCTCTCCGTTCCCGCGCCAAGCCGGCGCCAACCGGCAGGTATTTTTTTCTCTCAATCACACTGCAAGACTTCATAGTTGGATTATGAATTGTTCCGGTTTTTGCGTCGCAATATATATGATACTGATGTTTTTGATTACAGGCCAGGTCCCTTCGTTGGATAGCGTTCCATTGGGATCGACATGATGTGGGAGGGGGTAACACCTTGACGTTTCTATTACGTACAACGCTCATCCCCCCTTCCATTGCCATTGCCGTTTCACTAAGGACAATTATCTCTAAACTTTCGAAACAAACGAGCAATGAACCTAAAATTTTTGTTATGAATTATAACGTAGCGAAAATGGGATAAACTTGCTCTAACGATTCTAAATACGAATCGGCACGTATCGCTGCATCCATTGCCGTTTTTTCGAGAATCTGTAATTTTCACTTTTAAATAAAGAAGCAATGGACATAGCTTTTAATAACAAAAATCGAAATGGGGATGTGACCTTGACATTTCATTTTACGACTTAACGCATGTACATGGCTTTATCTAGTGCAGTTTAGGAGTGAGTATAAGTGGATTTAGCCTGAAAAACGCGGCTTATTGCACGTGCAATTGTTTTTGTGACAAATAAAACTGTATTGCTAATAGTATAACGTCTAGGTGTAAAAGTAGCCGTATTACGTGGCAACAGGCATGTACGCCACTTGACTGGTGCCAAATGTGAGAAAATTCTATTCGAAATGTGTAAAACAATTATTGAGTTTTATTTCGTTAGTTATTCAAAAATTTTCTTTTGTGAATTACGTCACTTTCTTATTGACGGTGCCTTTGATTAATAACATCTCGCTTTACTTCATAATGCAACTGGAGTTATCTAACAAAATTTGGTTCCAATTGTAGTAGTTTTCTCTAACTAGGGAATTCACTCTGGGGCACTTCCTAGAACACCCAGACCGGAACCTATTTAGAAAAAGTTAATTACCCAAATTTATCCAACCGTGAATCTAAAGGGACCTCCTCATCCAGCGCCCGCTGTGTAAACCGTTGGGCCACCGAGGTCGTCATTATATCTTGTATGATTGCCATCGTGGTGGAGGAATTGGCGTATGGTACTCCACGATTGTTGTCCACGTTGCGCCAGACGTAGGCCTGGTTCTCACTATGCCGAATTTCGAAAGGCTGTCAAATTTAGAAGCTTTTCACATTACGCCGGACCCGGCAAGAATGCCGAACTCGCCATTGTCGCCGGAGCGTTTCACCCCGTTCACACGGTATTGTACTGCACGTTTTTTGCAGTATAAATCCGAACCGAATAAACAGTGGCGCATACATTACATATAGAACCGTTCATTCGGTGTTTGTCCTGCAAAAAACGCACTGCATACAAACACACATCGAATCAGCAAAACACGTGCAGTGCAATGCCGTGTGAACGGGGGGTTTGTCACTGCAGACCGCCCGGACCGGAGTAATGTGAATGACGACGCAAGTCGTCCCAATAAGTCATCAAAAGAGGATGCTGTTATTCGAAAATAATTTAAGAACTCTGACTCGTCACTTCTCAGTTGGCCCATTAAAATTTTTTCCCGTAAAATTAGATGTACCCAATGGTTTCTTTTTACTCTATTAAGTCTTCTAAGATACCACCACAACACCACAATTGCATCGTCTATCGTGCGCAGTGGTCTGAATTCGACTTTAGTCTCCGGTTTTCTTGTGAGATCCAGCTTAATGTGAACACCTAGTCCGAGTTCCGGTTTTTCAGCAAATTCGCCGTGTGGGAACTAGGCCGTACAGCAAAAGGAATAACATGTAGTAAAGGCTCCTTTCAAACACCCCAATATATAGGGCATTCAGTAGCAGTAGAGCTAAGGAGCTCTGAGGAGAACTGTAGCACAAGGGTGCTACAGTTGTCCAGGGAAGTACTGCCACCATATCTATTTTTGCCGCCCATCAGTGATGTGAGCATTATTGCTGCGTTCCGGTTTTGAAGGGTAAGGGTGCTGGTCAAGCTACAGGCACATGGAACTTGTCAACTTATGTCTCAGGGGTGACAGGCGCAGTGGCAGTGCCCTTAAGATCTTTGTGATTTAAACCTCTAAGTGGCATTGCAACTGTTATTGATTGGCGTGTCGCTTACCACCAGGCGCACGACTTGCTCGTCCCTTTACTTGGTATTATAAAAAAACCTTGTGTATATGTATATAACTATAGAGCAGTTTCAATTTTAGTTTGTCTAAAAATATTGGTTTCTGAACTTATTCTTGTGTAGGCAACAGCGCTGTCTCGCTGACAGACACGAATAATTCAAGTGTTTGTCAGTTGTTGTCAACGTGCCGCCACGGCATTACCTTCAAATCTAAACCAATATTATAAATGCGAAAGTATTTTTTTTTTTTATAACATGTG